CCTGACGAACCTACCGCCAAATATATATATATATATATTCGAATATTTGGATTTAAAAATATATTTTTCATTCCCAATTTTATAAGTTAAAATTTGTTATTTTTTGATATTTTTTGGAGTATAATTGAAACACATATTAGACTACAATTGCTGATCTAATTTTAATTTATGAAAATTACACTTATAATATTAATATTAAAACTATAAAATCCGAATTCCGTCGATTTGTATCAAAGTTTTTTTTAACAATTCTAGAACAATTTTTCCAATTCCAAATTTTCCTAATTTTTCAAAAACGAAATTATAATTAGTTTCACTTAAAAAAAAAGAAATTGGACTTTTTCAAAAAGTAATTCCAAATCAATGTTGTCAGAATCGGACCGGATATAAAACCGGATCAACATTTGGGTCACGGTCGGACCGGTTCAACCAGGGTCGACCCGGGTTTTTTAATTCTTTAAAATTTTAATTATTTTATTAGTTTTAATATTTTAAATTTACTATTTTCTATGTTTTTTTTTTTATATATATTTCACACACTTTATTCATTTTATTATTCTGTTTATTTATACATATTTCCCTTATTATTCACCACAATCATTTTTTAATATTTTTTCACCTCTCTCCACGTTCTCTCTCTCCTCTCTCATCTCTCCTCTCTCCCCACCTTCTTCCCTCATAACTGCACAAACACCTCCTTCCCCATCATCTTCATCACCTTATTCCGGTCATCCACGACAAGATTCATCAAATTCCGGCAACCCACGGCCAGATCCATCGAATTCCGGTCCCCCACGACCTACACCACCTAACTCCAGCCACCCCGTCGAATTCCGCCCAAATCCCGCCACCAACAGCCACCTCCAACGCAGTGTGTTAGACAAAAACCGGAGTCAATAGCCGGTTTCCGGGTTCAACGGTTTTGTCCGGTCGAACCGGGCCTAGACATTTGGACCGGGTTTTTAGTTTTTCCGGTTTTAGGAGTCGGATCGGACCGTTTTCTTCGCGGGTCGCGGTCGGACCGGTTCGACCGACCGATCCGATCCGGTCCGGTCTTATTCGTCCCTTTTCACCCAGACCTTCCTTCTAAATGGGCTGTTTCCTTGTTGAGCCTCCATCACCTTTGTTCAAACCCCTCGCATAATTACCAATCTCTCTCTCTCTCTCTCTCCTCCGGTGTATTCGCGGCGGCGCGGAGACCATCCACCGGCCAACTCCACAATCTCCACCAAACAGTTCAGGTACAGAACCACAGTGTTTACACGATCACAGCTAATTGCGTTGTTAAATTTCTCTGTTAATTTTCTTACAATTTAACTCCAAATTCCTTTTTCCGTTATCAGGTGTTTCGATTTAAAAAAAAAAAAAAAAGAGACAAAATCGAGATTTTCGAATTATTTTCAATCTTCCTACTACAATTACTTGCAATGGATCCCAAGCACTCTGGAGATATGCTCAAGTAATTCTTACTCCCCTGTAATTGCACACGTGCTTTCAATATTTATGTGTAATTTTACCTGGTAATTTATTACGAGAGTGATGATTGGTGCAGGCATTTGGAGAAGCAGACAGAGCTTCTAACTGATGCGTATAGGTCAATGTCTCATGAATTGCAGAGAACTCCAGG